CATGCTCACAAATACATGCGTGTGTGAGTGTACAAACACAAATGAATACATACGTATATACCCATGTGTACATACACACTTGTAAGCACTCCAGAAGTTCTTTACAAATGCTGCTCAGTCAACCCCCCTTCCTCCAATGTAACAATTCTCCTGAGATTGTGCCTCCCTGGACGCTAGTATCTTCCCATGCTACGGGTCTAACCAACAGGCTTCTCTTCACAAAGAACATGCTGAAGAACCCAGGCTCCTTGCCCTGAGCTTTCTCGTGTTGATGTTACAGACTGCGCGTACACGCGTGCACACACACACACACACAGTGGGGTTCAACTTCTGTGTCATGTTTTTTGCAGGCTGGCAGCTCCGGCCTGAGCCCCCTTGACTGGCTGCAAGTGGTGTTTGAAGCCCTCTTGGAGGCATGCTGGCCACCGGCTTTCTTGGGGGGTCCTGGAAGTGTGGTTCCTTAAAGCCTGAGTCCAACAGTGGTGCTGTCCAAGGGGCAGTGCCTCCTCTAACCACACACTTGTCTTTCATCTTACAGCCATCCTGAGTGCACAGTGACCTCATGGGAAAACACGGACGAATGATCCCTTCCTTCTCTTTTCTCGTTTCTCACGATGATAGATTGGCCGTCTGGAACCCTCCATGGGTGATCAACTTATCTCTTACAATTTTCAAGTTCTGTATGCAAACACGCAAAGGTCAAATTGTTCCCTCTTTGGCCAGTAGGAGGTTTTGAGTTCTTCTGACAAGGCTGGGAATTTTCTCAAGACTGGCAGACCCTGGAAGTTTGTTTCTGTGCTGTCTGCTGCAAGATGCCCCCACTCAGCCTGGTCAGCTTCCTAGCCAGGCTCTTCTGGAAGGCAGAGCACAGCCTGAAGGCTGTAGCTGCTCCGCTGAGTCACAGTCACCTTGAGGGCTTTGCACGAGGGCAAACTAGGCAATACTACTAATGGAAAGACTTGGAGTTTTCATTCGTACGTCTAAGTATAAAACACGAATCTAAACTGAAAAAAAAGCAATACATGGGAGGCTGACAAGATGGCTCGGTGGGTAAATGCCTGTAATCAAGCCATCCAACCTGAGTTAGATCCTTGGAACTCACATGGATGGATGGATAGATAGATAGATAGATAGATAGATAGATAGATAGATAGATAGATAGATAGATGATAGATAGATAGACAGATAATAGGTAGATGACAGAGATAAATGATAGATAGATAGATAGATAGATGATAGTGATAGATGAATAGATGGATAGATAGATAGATAGATAGATAATAGGTAGATGACAGAGATAAATGATAGATAGATAGATGACAGTGATAGATGAATAGAAGATAGATGGATAGATAGATCGATGATAGATGATAGTGATGGATAGACTATAGATAGATAGATAGATAGATAGATAGATAGATAGATAGATAGATAGATAGATAACAGACAGATAAAATATTTTTGGGAGCTAGAGTCAGGAGGATAAGAAGTCAAGGTTACCCTCAGCTACCCAGCAAGTTCAAGACCAGCCTAAGCTACATGAGATCCTAGCTTAAAAAAATACACAGGTAAATAAACAGCAAATATTATAAACATATCACAATTTTCTCCTGATCCCTGAAGTAGAGGGCATGGGAAATCTGAACTTCCTCCATTAACAACACCGTTCCATCCCACACATCCCCGTCTGCTCCTCCTGCTCTGTACTGGGTAATTTACACATAGCAAACACTGCTTTTAGTTCTGTGGCTGGGAGCCGTGTTTGAAGGCTACTCTCTGCTCTCTCGTGCGGTGGGAAAGGTGTGCCTCTCTTATAAAGGCAGCAAACCCTTGTGGCTTGCTCACATCCCCAAAGGTCTTGCAATGCTATCTCAGTGGGCATTAAGCGCCTACGTGGATATTGTGCAGCCATGGTTCAAGTGATGGCATGCTCACACCTCCCATTCCCCCATGGTCACAGATCTACAGACAGCTACTGAATTTGTACATGGTCAGCTGATAGCTTCTTCTGCACTCCAGCTGTCTACAATAGAGTTCCCACCCAGTTCCTTAAGAAGAGGTCACGGGAACTGTTAGGTGCTTTCTGGGTCCTCTCAGAACTCATGGTGAACCCTAGTCCCGTGTGTGATGGCTGAAGGTGAGGCCTTCAGAAGGTAATTAGAATTGGATGAGGTCGTAACGGTGGGGCCCTCACAAAGAGGGTTAGTGCCTTACAGGGATCGCAAGAAACCACGCTTCCTCTCTGACTCCCAAGTCAGGACAGGAGACCGCACCTGTACAACTAGGGAGAAGACCCTTGGCAGATCCAACCATCTACCCCGACCTCATACCTCCAGCCTCTAAAGCAGGTAGACGTCACTCTCTGGTCTTCACAAGTCAGCAGTCTGTGGTACACTATTACAGCAGCACATCAGAGAGAGAGGGACTCCCCGCATTCCTGCACAATCGCAGTGCCTCTTCTACTTAGAAGTCAGGTCTGCTTAGCATACAATCTTTCCTTCCTTCCATTTTTCAAATATTTCCGCTCACATTTTTCCCTCTAACGAGAAGCTCATCCTGTGTAAAACCTCTGCTCTTTTCCTTCTAGAACCCCAAAGCATTCTTCATGGTTTCCTTGCTGTCACGTGGTCAGCATTACCAGTGTGTGTGCTGGGTCCCAGTGTGCATGCTGGGTCCACGGGGGATTTCATGTTTTACTCTGGGAGTGTTTTCCTGGGTTTGACTGGGTCAGCCCTGCAACACCCCACACACACACTCTGTTTTTGCTCAGCTCAGTATTTGGTGCTTTCTTTTCAATCATTATTTTAATATTATCATTATCATCATCAATTGCTAGTTCTATGAAGTTATATTTTGCTTTTATTTACTATTTTGGTCATTCTTAGTTCAATTTTCATTTCTGGAGCTTTTTATCTAAAATTCTTTCCTGAATTGGCCTCTCATTTCTAAGTATTCTAATCATAGTTTTATGACTGTGACAATGGCTTAGAAATTAAGAGCACTGGCTGCTCCTCTAAAGGACCAGAGTTCAATTCCCAGCACCCACATGGCAGCTCACAACCACCTGTAACTCCATTCTGGGGGACCACACACTTAAACACACACACACACACACACACAGCCATAATACATAACTTTTTAATTATGGTTTCATGTCTTATGCAATTTTCTTAATGTCAGCTAATTTTGAGAATGTGTCAATTGTTTATTAGGACATTGTTCAATTTCCAGTTATTTCTTTCTTTTCTTTTCTTTGTGTGTGTGTGAGAGAGAGAGAGAGAGAGAGAGAGAGAGAGAGAGAGAGAGAGAGAGAGACCCCTAAACCATATAGCCCAGGCTAGCCTCAAATTGATGCTCTCTTGCCTCCGCTTGCCGAGAGTGAGGAGGGCAGCACATGGTCTTCTTCCTCCTGAACGCTTTCCCGTGGGCCAGCTTGCCCTCCTCCTCAGCTGTGGGGGTGAGGTAGGCTGTTCTGGCTCCCTCTCCTGTTGTCTGGGTGAAGTGTTGAAGCATGCCTGATATCCGCTCTCTTCCTGTCTCTGTCCTGCTCTCTTCCTGTCTCTGTCCTGCTCTCTTCCTGTCTCTGTCCTCAGCAGCTTTCCCTTGGCTCAGGGCCTTGAACCAGACTGCGGCTCTGAGGATGAATGCCCAGAGCTCGAAGGCCATCTGGTGGCGTCCCTTTCCTAAGCTCTGTGATCTTAGTGGCGGAATGGACGTCTTCCTCCACCTGCAGCTGCTGTCCCCACGCGGCCCGGGGCTTCCTGTGGCAAGCCCCGCTCTGTGCACTGCAGACAGAAGCTACGTCACCGCCATCTTTCTCTCCCATACACCATGACCTCTTGGCTGCCGGGATTCTGTTTTCAGCTGTTGGCATCTGGGGTTCACCTGTGTGGCCTCTGAGTTTCTCTTTTGCTCTCCACAAGATGGCGAAGCTCTGAACTCAGGCTAGTCTTCGCCTTCTCTCTTTTGGCTCCTTCTTCAGATGGTCTTAGGCATCAGCTTTGGAAAGAGTCCTTGTATTGTTCTTGTCTTATGTGGAGAGGGGGTCATGTGTGAAGTTCCATCATCAGACTTCATCATGAGGAGAACCTGAGAGCAACACTTACCCTTCACCCACAGTTTCAGAGGCTTCGGTCTAGGGTTGGCTGGCTTCGTGGTCTCTCGGCTCGTGGTGAGGGAGAGTGTTGTGACAGAAGAGCTACTCACAACTTCATGGCCAGGAAGCAGAGAGAGGCGAGGGACGGGAGAAAGCTGTGCCCTTCAAAGCCACACACACCCACATCAACCCACTCCATCCGGCCAGCCCCGCCTCCTCGTCTCCACCACCCTCAGTAACGCCACCAAACTACCAATCCACCCCATCAGGTCAGCGCTCTCACCATCCAGTCACCTCCTGGCGGCTGGATCCACCCGCTGGGGACCAAGTCTTCAACACATGAACCTCGGAGGTACTTCAAACCACGTGTCACTAAATGGGGTAGAGTTGCAACGTTGCAGTCTCTGCCCTTAGCTTAGAACCGGGAACCCTGCATACCTGTGCTCAGAGAGCCGGCTCTAGTGTGCTCTGTCACTCAGATGAGGACGGACCCCCTTCTCGGGACTTTCAAGCCTCCATCTGCTTAACAGAGCAGTCTCCTGGCCACACAAATGTGTGACTGGTACATAGACTGGGGGGGGGGGTGACGTGGAAGAGGCCTGTCACCTGTCCGCCACAGGCAGAGCTATACATTCCCCACACTGTCCCTCCCTCCACGGCCTGGACAGCGACTGTGACACATTCTCGGCACTGCAGGTTCACACCTTGAAAGGAGGACTGAAAGCCCTGCGATGTGATCATTAATTTAAAAGGCCCCCGAGGCTCATCAGCGGTGACAAGGGTTAACATGTCCGTGGTTGAGGGCTACCCTCGAAAAAGACCCTGCGCGTAGAAGAAATGGCCTTCACTTCAAACGGCAGCCAGCACAAGACATGGAAGGGCTTAGTGTTTAAAATGCATTTTTTATTATTCAGCCTTCAGCAGAAATGTCACCTTTCTAAGGCAAGCTGTTACCGTGAGCTCCCCGTGCCAAACGGGCGCCTCTGAGGAGCAGGATTTGATCTCAGCATTTCTAGTGATTTGTGTTTCTCTTTCAAGGAGCTCCATGCCTTAAGGCACCTGCGACACTCATGGTACAAGAAGGTAAGTGTGCAGGAGATGCCAGCCCTGAAGCATTGAAGGTGGAGGCGGGGGCCTCTGCTGGACAGGCCAGGAGCACCATCAAAGCCGGAGCCTGCAGTGCCCTGCCCGGTGATCCAGGTCCCCTCCTTGCAGAGCATTGTTTTCTGGTGAGCACTGCGGTTGAAACCATATTCTCAAAGAAACTCTGTTTTGTCACGAGGCCCCCATCCGCAGGCTCGGCCACATGACAGGCCCAGCAGCCAGCACAACTGCCGGCGATGCTTGCCAACAAGCCAGATGCTGCCACACATTGGCATCTGGGCCCTGGAATAGCAAGCATGTTCTCAGTCTGGCTAGGGATTCTGACCCCAGCTTCGCAAGGAGACAAAAACAGGGAAGAAAGAGCGGGAAGGAGGGGAGGGAGGTGGGCCTGCCCAAGGGTCTCTGGGTAATGTCCCTACCGTGGCTTTCGAGCCTCACCTGACAAAAGACTCCTTGGAAACCTGCAGCAGGAGCAGCAGGAAGGGCTCTGGCACCTGGGAGGTGGGGGTGGTTGGTTCTGCAGGAGACAGCTGCAGCAGGCAGTCCTCTCTCCCTCAGCCGTGATAGCCCGCCGTGGGGCTAAGCTGTGGGACATGGCTCCAATCTGCAGCAGAGGGATGGAGTAGCAGTATCCATGGCTGTCCATCCCGCTCGCTCTCCAGATGCCAAGGCTCCCCAGTGCCAGCAAGGCCAACGAAATGGTGCGCGCCTGGACCAGACCCCATACTGTGGAGAGCTTCACAATCAGAGAAGGGGCAGTCAGGGGGTTCTGACCCCGGAACGGGATGAGGGAAATAGGAAGTGCCTTACCTCGGGGTGGCTCCTGGTTCCACGAAGGCCCCATCCTGGGTGGTCACATAGATGGAGGCTGGGCTCAGTGCAGGGTGGGGAGTAAAACAAGAAAATAAAAAGCAAGCTGCATTTTTCCCCCGAAATAGCAACTTGTAGCCAGCATCCCTCACTCCCTTTCCATGACTGAGCCCTCGGAGCCATTCTGTGCTCAGGAAAGTCCTGCCCTTAGCTGCAGATCTAAACATTGTCCCAGGAGCATCTCTCTGGGGCTGGGCACCACAGCCTCCACCCAGACCTACCTGAAGGTCCTCTGGTCATCAGGTATGGGGCACTTCGGGGACCTCTGGCCATCACTGGTAAAACTGCGAAACACCTCCTTGCTGTGGTGTCTTAGGCAACAATGCCGTTTACAAAGTCCAGAGGGACTATATCACAGCTGAGTCAGCACAACACAGACATACGAAGTAACTGCTAACGCGGGCAGCGCTCATGGCCTCTGTTAGTGTAGTTTTCTTTTTATAAGGCAGGGTCTCATGTAATAGAGTCTGGCCCGGAACTCCTGACCCTCCCTTCGCAGCTCCCCCAAATCCCTCCTATTGCGAACAAAATTATCTGAACATCTTACAGGTGTTTATCAAAAAGTCAAATGTGTATATATATATCTGATAAGTAATCTCAGTTAATATATTTTTAGTACCTTATAAAATATCCTCATGGTAAAAAACTTTTAAGTGGATCCCCTATATTCCACTTAAATACACAGTCTTGGGGCTACAGAAATGACTCCTCCCAGAGTACTTACTGTCAATCATGAGAACTTGAGCTGGCTCCCCAGGCCCAGTGTGGTGGCACAGGCCTATGATCCCAGTTCTGGGGCTGGGACAGAAGACCCTGGGGCTTGCTGGCCTGTCAGCCTACCCTAATTGGTAAGTGCCAGGTTCAGTGAGAGACCCTTCGCAAAAAACAAGGTAGGTGAGTCCAGTGAGACAGCTCAGTGGGTAAAGCGCTTGCTCACCAACTCCTGCAACCTGAATTCCATCCCAGAGCCAACATAAGGAAAGAGAGAGAAAACTGATGCCACACAGATGTCCTCTGACCTCCACGCACGGCACATGCGCACACCCATACACAAGATAATGAAGAAAACAAAATAAACAGGTAGAGGGTTACTGAGGTCTCCCAACAGCAACCTTTGACCTCTGCATGTATGTGCACACACATCTATGTGCACCTGTACACACCTCTGTGCACACGCGCGCACACACACACACACACACACACACATGAACACACTGGCGTGCACACCTCATTTTCCTGCTGTGAAATTCAATGCCCTTTGCAAAACGTAAAAGGACCCAGGCCAGCTGAGGCCCACCAGAGAAAACGTACACCAGCAATGGGATGCTTGCAAGTCAGTGAGGAGGCTTCCTTTGGAGCCTTCGTGCTGTCCTGAGCACGGCGGGGACGAGAGGCTGAATTTCAACTGTAGCACCCCTAAGAAGGGACATGAAACCCCATCCATGCCAGGGATCAAAATTCAAGACCTCTGAGATCTATGCCATCTACTGCGACAATGGCCTGCGGAAGGAAGCAGGAGCTGTCTGTCAAAGCAGCAGTGGTGAAGTGGCTGGTCTCTTTGGGGAATGCGGACACTGTACCACAGGCTCCTCTTAAAGGCACACACCACCAGGGCCCGGCTTGGCTTCCTCATTACCCGGCTGCCCACTTGTCTCCTCTCAAGCATCCTTTCCCACTGATATGAGGACTGTCTGGGCCAGTTTCCATGGGAGTGTCACAATGTCTTCAAACTTAGAATGTGCACCCAGAGTAAGGGACTCCCATCCGTCCTAGGCCAAGGCAAGACAGACACTCCTGGAAGGGTGCTGCTGTAGTTCAGCAGGATGGGGATGGTCTCCAGAACCTGCCTTTCTAGCCTGTTTTCCTAAAGTTTTCCATGTAGATGCAATTCCAGACTAATGAGGAGCTGTAAGAGGCAAGTCCACCGATGACTCAGAGTGGAGGGTGTCTTTGAGAACCGCTGGGCTAAACCAAGTTATGCCCAAGGTCTGAGATGCAGGGAGAAGCAATCCAAGAGCAAAGGTCAGGGTGTAGCTGAAACAGAAGCAAACCAACAATGTAAGAGTAAAATTCTGAGGCCGGGCGGGGACCCAGGGCTTGGGGCTCTGAAAACGGAGCATCATTACCAACCACAGTACACTCGCTTGGTTTTCTCTGACGACCCCTCAGGGCGATGCTGCAGAGACACTAGCTCTGGGTACAAACTATTTTCTAGAAGAAAGCAATTACTTGGTCAGGAAGTTCTAGACTTGGGAAGAGCAGGAATGGGATTGCCCTCTCCTCATTCGCCCCTTGTTCTGGAATCGGCCTCCAGCCAATCTCCACAGTGGGTCCTAGCTACACCCAGTCTCCAGTCTCCTTCCCTCTAACCGCTCTCTACTCTAACCCCCAAATCATCTCTCCAGGAGCAGCTTTCACCCACACCAGCCACTGATTCCCCTACAACCTAGAGTGTGACACATCCCGTGTCCCAGCAGGGCCTTTAACGCAGTCCATGGATCCACACACCAGCTCCATTCACCTGGCCTTCCGTTGTACACAAGACTCTCTCTCTCTCTCTCTCTCTCTCTCTCTCTCTCTCTCTCTCTCTCTCTCTCTCTCTCTCTCTCTCTCTCTCTCTCTCTCTCTCTCTCTCTCTCTCTCTCTCTCTGTGTGTGTGTGTGTGTGTGTGTGTAAATGTATGCCACATTAGTGCAGTTCCCACAGAATTCAAAATAGAATTAATTTCTGGTCCCCTGGAGCTAGAGTTATAGATGGTTGTGAATCACACTTGGGTACCCTCTGAGAGCAAAGCGCCTTCAGTCCCTGAACCACCTCTGCAGTCTTTACAGCTGTGTGACCACCAAGGGACGGGCTACTGAGAAGGGTATGGCAGCAACCCAAGCCTCCAGGTATAACAGAAAAATAATTACAAGGAAGCAGGTAAGTGCCAATTCAGCATTTTTGTTAACCTTGCTTTCTAAAATGTGGGATTACCATACCAGTTCACGGGGGGGGGGGACTGAACTCCCATCATGCCCTTGTACAGCACAGAGCTTGTCCCCTTCTCCCTCTGTAGCAAGGACCCACAAGAGTGCCATCGGATTGAGGTTGAAGGACAATCAGTGAGTGACAACATTCTAAGGCGTTGTACTGGATTGCCAAAATCCTCGAGGGAAGAGCTCGAAATACCAGGCTCCATCACCCAGAGCATTTACAAAACAGAAACTGAGTTCCTGAAAGATATGTGTGAGCCCAGGTGGAATGGCGAGAGGGGCCCTTAGGAAGCAAGGAGCTCTGAGAACTATCGTCAGATTTCCCTAGCACCGCCAGCTTCTGGGGCAAGGCAAGGCATGCTGTGTGTGGCCTCTAGTGTAGTCCTACTGGCTTCCAACCCCAAGGACACGCGTGGAGTGGGAGATAACCCATTCTTGGTTCCCACAGACCCTGAAGTAAGTGCAGACAGGACAGGGTGAAGGGAAAGCCCGACCAAGTTGGAGCTATTTAAAAATGAATAAGTCCGGGGAGATGACTCAGTGGGCAGAGGGCTTGTCATACAAGAATAAGGACCTAAGCCAGACACAGTGGAGAGCAGCTGTATCCCAGGGCTCCTGTGGTGAGGAGGAAGACCGAGACTGAAATCTGAGAAGCTTGCAGGCCAGCTAGCCTGATGTACACAGCAGATAAGAGGGTTGAAGGGGAGGAACATCTCTAACTTCCACAAACCCACAGGAACACATATGCACATGTGTTATACATATATGCACATATGTTACACAAACTAAACAAGGCAGTCTGAACACATATGCACATACATTATACAAGCTAAACAAGGCAGTCTGAACAGACTACCAAGATTCCAGAGAAACCCTACAAAGAAAAGTGACTGCTGTCACGTCTGCTGCGTGGACGTGACAGACTGCCAGAGGGAGGTGCTAGTCAAGGGAACATGGCTACCACCAAGAATGATTCATATTCAAAACTGCCAAAAAGGTGGAGAGTCTTCTCATGCAAACACACAGTAAGTGCTTATGCAGATGCATGTTCGTAAGTTTCACAGTGTGCACACATATCCAAACATTACATCATTTTCAATAAATGCATAATTACCTTTCAATTAAAATAAAACCTAAAGGAGTTTCATTGTTATTGTTAAGAAGTTAAAAATAGCTTCTGGTGCCCTGCTTGGAGCCTCCTGAGGCCTGGAGACTGCACAGGGGAACCCGTCCCAGAGGGACAGCCCATCCAGAATCTGCCGACATCATGGTACTAGTCCCGCCTCCACTCACAGGAAGAGGAGAGCCACCAGAGTGTTGGACCTTCCTGCACCCACTGGAAGAGAGCCTTGGTCCTGTATCCACCAGGACAGGGACAGACCCCACCAGTACCCACTGGAAGAAGAGATGGGAAGGCCACAGATAACAACACAGTCAACAACAGAAAGATCAATATGACGCCACCAGAGTCTAGGGACTCCACACCAGTCCTGAACATCCCAACACAGATGAAGCAAAAGAGAACAACCCTAAAAACAACTTTATGAAGATGATAGAGACCCTCAAAGAGGTAATGAGAAAATCCTTATAGAAATGGAAGAAAAAACAAAAAAAATTCAAGAATTGGAGGAAAAGACAAAGCAAAAAATGCAAGAAGCAATTCAAATGGTGCAAGGTTTGAAAACTGAAATAGAGACAATAAAAAAAACGGTCTGAGACAATAAAAAAGAAAAAGAAAGGTCTGAGGAATGCTGAGAATAGAAAAGCTGGATAAATCATCAGGAGCTACAGATGCGAGTATAACCAACCGAATACAAAAGATGGAAGAGAGAATCTCAGGCATTGAAGATACACCAGGAGAAATAGATTCATCAGCCAAAGAAAATCTTAAGTCCAACAAATCCCTAACACAAAATATTCAGGAAATACGGGACATCATGAAAAGATCAAACCTAAGAATAATAGGTATACAAGAAGGTGAAGAAACTCACCTCAATGGTGCAGAAAACATATTCAATAAAATCACAGAAGAAAACTTTACCAACCTAAAAAAAAGACATGCCAATGAAGGTACAAGAAGCTTATGGAATACCAAATAGAATGGACCACAAAGAAAGTTCCCTCACCACATAGTAATCAAAACCTCAAACATACAGAATAAATAAAGAATATTAAGAGCAGCAAATGAAAAAGGCCAAGTAACTTATAAAGGCAAACCTATCAGAATTACACCTGACTTCTCCATGGAAACTCTGAAAGTTAGAAGGTCCTGGGTAGATATTCTACCAATACTAAGAGACCATAGATGCCAGAGCAGACTACTATACCCAGCAAAGCTTTCAATCACTGTTGATGGAGAAAACAAGATATTCCATGGCAAAACCAGATTTAAACAATACATACCCACTAATCCAGCCCTACAAAAAGTTCTGGAAGAAAAATTCCAACCCAAGGAAGTTAATTGCACTCACAAAAACATAGGCAATAGATAATCCCACTTTACCAACAGCCAAAAGAAAGAAAAAGGGGGTGGGCAATCCACACACAATACCAACAACAACAACAAATAAAAATTAATAATCAGTGGTCACTAGTGTCTCTCAATACTAATGGTATTAACTCGCCTATAAAGACACAGGCAAACAGAATGGATACAAAGACAGAATCCATCCTTCTGTTGCATACAAGAAACACACCTCAACTTCAAAACATATATAAGCTCACAGTAAAGGATTGGGAAAAGATTTCCAATCAAATGGACCCAAGAAACAAGCTGGTGTAGCTATCCTAATATCTAACAAATTAGACTTCAAACAAAAAACAATCAAAAGAGATGAAGAAGGTCATTTCATATCCATCAAAGGAAAAATCCATCAAGATGAAGTCTCAATTCTGAACATCTGTGTCCCAAATACAAAGGCATCCAGATATGTAAAAGAAACATTACTAAACATCAAATCACACATAAGACCTCACACAGTTATAATGGGAGACCAACACCCCACTCTCACCACTAGACAGGATGGCCAGACAGAAATTTAACAAAGGAACTAACAGAAGTTAAGACCCAATTGGGTTTAACAGACATCTATAGAGCATTCCATCCAACACAAAAGAATATACCTTCTTCTCAGTGCCACATGGAACCTTCTCTAAAATCGACCACATACTTGGCAATATATCAAACCTCGACAGGTACAAAAAAAATTGTAATAACCTTCTGTATCTTATCAGACCACCATGCTTTAACGTTAGAATTCAACAACAATATAAATGGCAGAAACCCTACAAACTTATGGAAATTGAACAATGCACAATTGCACCATTCCTGAGTCAAGGAAGAAATAAAAAGGAAATTAAACGCTTCCTAGGATTCAATGAGAATGAAGACACAACATACCCAAACTTATGGGATACTTTGAAAGCTGGGCTAAGAAGAAAGTTCATAGCACTAACTGCCCACATGAAGAAACTGGAGAATAGTCACACTAGAGAATTAACGGCACAGCTGAAAACTCTAGAACAAAAAGAAGCAAACTCACCACGGAGGAGTAGATGCCAGGAAATAATCAAATTGAGGGCTGAGATCAATAAAGTAGAAACTAGGAAAACAATACAAAGAATCAATGTAACAAAGGGTTGGTTCTTTGAGAAAATCAACAAGATAAGCAAACCTTTATCCAAACTAACAAAAAGGCAGAGAGAGAACATGCAAATTAGCAAAATCAGAAATGAAAAGGGGGACATAACAATGGACACTAAGGAAATCCAGAGAATCATCAGGTCATACTTTGAAAAGCTGTACTCCACAAAATTAAAACATTGAAAGGAAATGGACAATTTTCTGGATAGGTATCATTTACCAAAATTAAATCAAGAACAGATAAGCAATTTAAATAGATCTATAACCCCTAATGAAATAGAAGCAGTCATCAAAAGCCTCCTAACCAAAATTTTAAAACCCAGTGCCAGATAGTTTCAGTGCAGAATTCTACCAGAAATTCAAAGAACAGCTAATACCAATTCTCCTCAAAGTGTTCCACAAAATAGGAGCAGAAGGGTCATTGCCAAACTCTTTTTACGAGGCTACAATTACCTTGGTACCCAAGCCACACAAAGACATAACTAAGAAAGAGAACTACAGACCAATATCCCTCATGAACATTGATGTAAAAATACTAGCAAATCGAATCCAAGAACACATCAGAAAAATCATCCCCCATGATCAAGTAGGCTTCATCCCAGGGACACTGGGATGGTTCAACATACAAAAATCCATCAATGTAATCCACCATATAAACAAATTGAGAAAGAAAAACCACATGATCATTTCACTAGATGCTGAAAAAGCCTTTGACAAATTCCCTTCATGATAAAGGTCTTGGAGAGATCAGGGATAACAGGAACATACCTAAACATAATAAAAGCAAACCAACAGCCAACATCAAACTAAATGGAGAGAAACTCAATGTGATTCCTCTAAAATCAGGAACAAGAGAAGGCTGCTCACTCTCTCCATATCTCTTCAATATTGTACTTGAAGTTCTAGCTAGAAAAATA